GTGGCTAAGGTGGTTCAAACGCAAAACAACAACGAGCGAAAACAAAACAACACGTGTGTTGGGTGGGACCAGTGGGTCAAGGGGGTCAGGCGAGCTGGGGGGGCGAGGGAGTTGTAACTCTAAGTCGCGGAAGCCTTAACCTTCAGCAAGCGTGCCCAGCTATAGAGTAATGAAACGAAAATGAAAACGAAACCGAAGAGAATCGGAAAAGGAGCTATAATGTCTGAACTTTAAGGCCGCGAACGTGTTTTGAGTTCCAGACTATCCAGTCCAGTCCCCTACCCTAATATATATGTGCATATACATAAGTCTATATATACCATATACGGTTTGTGTGTGGGGTGAGCCCATTTGTATCTGCGATGAGTCCATTTGCCAAAGGTTTGTCAGCCCCGTAACAAGTATTAATTGAATTATTCACAGGGCAAAAAAAGACGGAAATTCACACCTGCTACATTAAAATCGTTAAAATTTTAATCCGCTTGGTTGTGTTTTGTTTGCCTGCTTAATAGTTAATAACCAGGTTTTTCGACGGACACTTTTGTTGTTCTGCATATGTTTTGTATATGCCATATAGCTGGGTTGATTTATTGATGGAACACTGAGGGGTAACAGCACTTGCAGATATAGTAAAGAGTTCTTTTCGAAGAACTTTTCTTAATAGGCATTCATAGTGCGTTTATATGACAAGTATACATTTGTATATGCGATGAAACCGACAAAGCACGCTCACTCACACACACACACTCTTCAACTTACACACTCGAAAACAACAAAGCTCTTGGCGTTACGCGAGTTTTTTTCTAAATGCGTAGCGAATGCGAGAGGAGCGAAGCGAAAACCGCGTCCGCAGCGTTTGGACGCTCGGCAGCAACTATGGTGATTGCGCTATTACAAAAATACACGCTCTCGAAAAATCTCCAACAGAAGCCCTTCCTCCCCCACACACCCGCACACACACGCACACGCACATGCACAGAGAATGTATCAGAGCTATCTGTGTGTCAACAAAAGTTTAGCAGCTGTTCGCGTTGCTAAGCTTTCCATGGGGCAAAGAGAAATGGCAATTGAGAGAGCGCCACTTTAATCGAGACGGAGCTGCCAACTTATCGCGGTGGAGCCCGCGAATTTATTATCCATTCAAATATGCCGCAATATATCAAAATATATCGAGTCAAATAGCAATTGCCTGCAAACAGCCTTTAAATTTTATTTTGCAGATGGCGTTTTTATCCATATAAAATATTCAAAGCATGTTTTATGCATCTTAAATCTTAAATTTTAGCCACTGCAGTTTTCTTTTGTACCTCACAATATTTAAAGGTGAAACCGTGGGCTTGTGGTATTTTCATGATTAGCGCTCGCTGTGTTTGTGTTCAAATTTCAGATCGCCCATTGGGGTCCTACAAATCCGAGCCCCCCAAGGCGGAGGAGCCCAGCAGCCACTTTGGCTGGCCAAAAAACCGATTCCCTAAGGTCTGGCGTTAGTTCCAAAAAAGTGCCTCATTCACGACGAGTCCGAGCTGGAGGACGAGGAGCTGGAGGAGCTGCTGTCCCCGGAACTGGTGTCGCTACTACTTCCGCGGTGCTTCCTGCGCCTGGCCTTCTTCTCCTCGATCACCTCGTAGCTGGGCAGAGTGGAGTTGCTGGAGTCGGAGCTGCTGCTGCTCGAGCTGCTCGACTCCTCGACAACTGCCTCAATCTTGCGGCATTTCCTGCGCGAGATCGGGCAATAAGTCAAAGGATAAGCAGCGAAGTCCCGAGATATTACCTACTTCTTATCGTTTTTATCCGCGTTCTTGCGCTTCTGCTTTTTGGCCAACTCGCAGTCACTGGGCGAAGTGCTGCAGGTGCGCTTCGACTTCTTGCCCTTCTTATCCTTGCGACGAGACTCCTTATCCGTGCCACTCGCCTTTGTGGAGTACTGATTTTGCGAGCTGGCCGTGGAGTAGCCGGTGTCCTTGCGCTTGCGCTTCTTCCTGGAATCAGTGGCTTAATCAGAATTTTCTTTTTAGTATAGTTATGCTCTGGACCCACTTGTCCTTCTTGTCCTTCTTCCGTTTGCTGTACACCGCCTCCTGCTCGGCATAGTCCTTGTCCTTGGCCCTATGAATAATTCATGCGGCTTATTAAGCACCCACAGTATTTCAACCACTTACCTCTTGATCTTCTTTTTGACTTCACCACCCCTTTCGTTGGATATCATGTAGATGCTATTCTGATCTGCATCCTGCACTTTCCTACGAGATTGGAACTGACGTGCCTTGGCCATTCGGCTTTCACGCCGATTTTTCCAGAACTCGGCGTTGACCACATATAGTCGATAAAGCTGCAGGATGATCACCAGCGAGTTTTTGCCTAGTACATATAAGTGCTATAATTTCTGATAAATACAGTGCATAATTAAGACGAACATGTGAAGAAGACGTTCATGTAGTTAATGATTTTGTACTGGAAGATAATCAGCAGGCGAAAGGTGAGGAAGGGAGCATCCTGCAGGATCACATTGAGTACGATTCCCCACACGTCAATGCCACAGCAGCAGTTTTGGCAGCAGTCTGTATGTCTGCGGAGCAGAGATTCGCATATAATTCAGTTTACCAATGATCATTACACTTTTGCGATAAATTGAGGAAACAAACTCACTCCTCCTTGTGGTGCGATCCACTGCCCCGAGGTCGTCGTCCTCGAGTGGCGGACAGCACGATGGTGAACTGCATGAGGCTCCAGGACCAAATGCCCAGTGTGAGGAAGACGAGAAATCCAATCTTAGCTATGGAGTCGTCCTTGTAGGAGTCGAAGAACTCAATGATATCCGCCGCCGTGCCAATGTAGACCAGGAGCAATTGGCTGAGCTGATCCCTGGTTAGATCGCCCTTGGGCAGCAGCCAGCGACCCACGATCAGGATGAGCATGAGGAACTGCTCGATGAGGGTTGTCCACGTGTCCGGGGTCACCGAGAGGGTGACCCCGGCCTGACCCAGCAGCGTGGCCACCGGAGGCACGCCACTGCTGTTGGTGCTGCTGATGTAGATGGTGGTGTTGCCCACGGGAATGCTGAAGTTGCTCGGACTGTACACCGTCGAGTTGGTCGTAGTCATGTTGCCCACCCGCCTGGCCACCTTGTCCAGCTCCAGGAGCCATATCGCCGGCACAATGCTGCTCAGGTAGAGGAACACCGAGGGGCAGAACCTGCGGGCAAAGGACACAGGTGAGGTGGCACAGCCGAACGCCCAAAACAAACAACAAGTCTGAGTGATGCGACGAAAGGTAAACAAGAATCAAAGACAACGCCTGCTCCATACCCCGCGAGATTCCATTAAAGTTTTACTAGTACGACTTACACTCGAAATAAAAGTCCTCGCAAATTTTCTACAAAGTTGTCTATCGAGTTTCCGCAGATGGAATTCAAAGTTATGCCATTTTCGAAACTCAATGCAACTCAATGTCCATGTTTTTCTGCAAGAATACTATGTAAGCTACAGTGTATTGTTTTGAAAGCGAGGGCACTTTTTTCTGAGTGTGGGGGTGCGGCCGCAGAATTGGTGGTTGTTATGGAGGTGGGTGGTCGGGCAGGTTAGGCACACACTAAACACATGATTTCACTTTTAATTGAAAATCAAAGCCCGCGGCATGACGTCAGCATCGACTGATTGTTGTTTACAATTGGAGATGCCTGGAGTAGCCAGGATCCCTGGGTTTCATCCTTACCAGCGCCACTCCTGCGTCTTCTTGATCATGATGGTGAAGATGCCCTCGAGCAGCAGCAACAGCAGTGGTCCACATAGTGCCCAGTAAATAATGTCACTTTTCAGGGCCACCACCTGCCAAATGGCCAGCAGGCTGTGCGCACTGAAGATGATCCTCGTGAGGATGGCCTTGATCGTCGAGATTATCTTGGCCATGGCTGCAATGACATAATCCGCTCTTGGTCGCTCCCTGCAGCTCGAGAATCAGGTCCAAGGACCAAGGACCACGGACCAAGGAAAAGCGAACCGCACACGGCGAAATGGCAAACGCAACTGACAGCAGAAATCGCGGGCCCCAAATGCTTTCATTAGATGTTTAAACGCTTTTTAAGAAATTAAGGACACCGCCGCGAATGGCGCGTAATTGGTGAATGGCCACGGACCCCTGTCCCGATGTCCTGTGTGTGCGTTCAGGACGAATCATCTTCGGCTTGTCCAGGGACGAACTACAAACTGCAGGGCAAAGGTGTAGATTCTTGGCTTCAAAAGAAGAGCTGGTCTATCTTCAATGAATTTGAGCTAATACTCCATTCCGGCTTACTTTTTTGAGTTTTTTTGTATAATCCTTATATGCATTGAAGTATTAGTAATGAATGAAATGAGATTCAGTTGATATTTTTGCAGTTTCCTCGACCAAAGCGCTCCTGGAAATGACTTCCCAAACGAAATCGAACCCATGCGTGTTTTACTTATGTGTGCCTCGAAGTCACACGACCATTAAATGCTTCAGCTGACTTGGAAGACGGCAAACGGTGGACGATAAACGAGGAGTCCGCGTTCCACCCACCGGATTTTGGGTCTGGCCACAAATGCAGTGCAAACAAATCGCTGGAGTGAACGACGCCGAGCCTTGGCCATCAAATGGTGGTAATGTAGCTGCATGGAAAGTTATAGTCATCGTAAAACCACCCAGCCGAGTCATATCTGTGGGATGTTTGCCCATGGGTGGGCGGAGTTGGGTCAATGTTTTTGCCGCACGTGAAGTCATTGAACAGGCGTAAGTCAAGGATGATGTTCGTGCTCCGACTGGGCAACCTGTTGACTGGCACAAAGAAATCCTACAATTTATACGCTGAGCGGAGTAAAGTAAGTAGTTCAGCATACATTACGCATACGACATGTGAAACGGCCAGCGTTCTATGAAGAATGCTCTACTACTCACCTTTCTATTGCTTGCATGGCTCCTTCTGTTTTAAATATGCAGGTGTGGTTATGAAACGTAGCTTTTATTGCTGGAACTGATATGACTGGTTATGGGTTTGGGAAGCTATTCCGCTTGCGGCGGCGCAGCAGCCTATTGAGTCGGCCCAAACTGACACGCCTGCCCAACCGATTCCTGTTCCTGGTCTTGGGCCTGGTCCTGGTCCTGATCCTGGGTATGGTCCTGGTCCTGGTCCGGGTCCGGGTCCTAGTTCTGGTCCTGATCCTGGAACTGGCAGTGGTGGTCCGGTAGTCACGCACCCTGCGCCTCATCACGTTCTTCCACTTCTTGATCCTGTAGCGATGCCTCTTGCGATGCCTCTTCGAGGACGTGCCGGCGCTGGTGGTGGCGGCGGTGGTGGAGGCGGCGGTGGTGGTGGCGGCTGTGGTGGTGGTGGTCGCCGGGGGCTCCGTGGAGGGTGGGGATGTGGTCTCGTTGGTTAGCCAAATGCACAGGCTTATCACCCAGATTCGGAGTGGCAGTTGTCCTGCCTTCATAGTGTGATGGGTGATGATGTTCGGATGAACGGCATTTTGGTCGGTGGGAGTTTTATATTGGCCAAGACAATTGGCGGAATTTCTCAGCAAATATTCGCAAATATACTTTTGCGCAACATTTTTTGGCCATATTAACACAGTTTGCTGATCAAACAATGGAACAAGCTGGAATTTTGCAGAGCGGACATCTGCCGCCACTAGCTATTAAGTTATATATTTAACACTGACTTGTATTTTTACGACTAAATCTAAAATTAATCACACATTGCACTGCGAGAAACGAAGTCAGCGAAATATTAAATAAAGCTTAGAGCTTCGTGCTCAATCTACCGCTAAAATATGCCATTTATGTGGCATAATATCGTTTGTAAGCCTTTGAATTTAAGAATAGAGTATGATTCCCCAAATTAGATTAAAGCTGAAATGCAACTAAATGCCTAAATGGGTTGCCCTTCTTTTCTCAGTGCCACATAGTGTAGCCAGTGAGCTCCCTTCCCATACAAATGGGAATCCATCGAATGGGATTAGGTGCCTGCACGTTGGCACATAAAACACTGCATAACCAAATATTTGCGTGGATCCAACTTGACTCCGTATTTGCCTGGCCTGAAGGACCACCGCGGACTGCGGACTGCGGATGACATGTATTGGTCCTGCGGATGACACCGATACTGACGCTCTTGCGTGGTTGCGTGGTCGGGCGGTCTCCCGCAGGGTCTCATCCAGTGCAGGGTGCTATATAAGTGGAGGATATTCCAGCCGACGTTCATTCGCAAGTCTCCTGCTGCAGGTGTCCCGTGCTCCTGTTCCAGTTCCTGTTCCTGGCATTCCTTCCAGCTCCTCGGACTAATGGCTTGCTATACGTACCTCGCCGCCCTGGTGCTCCTGGTCATTTGCTGCCAATGGGGATCCTGTGCCGCCCTGGCCATGCCGGATGAGGAGCGCTATGTGCGCAAGGAGTACAACCGGGACCTACTGGACTGGTTCAACAACGTGGGCGTGGGCGTGGGCCAGTTCACTCCCGGCCAAGTGGCCACCCTCTGTCGCTATCCGCTGATCGTCGAGAACTCCTTGGGCCCATCCATGCCCATCAGGAAGCGTAACTCCGAGCTGATCAACTCCTTGTTGAGTCTGCCCAAGAACATGAACGATGCGGGCAAGTAAGCCCAGAAAATGTTGACGGAACCTGGACAAGAACTTATTATTTGATGTTGTACTTTGAGTTTTTGGTGCGTCGAAGGAAAATGAAAGTCCGCAGATAAAAGCTGGTATAGCCATCTAATAGAGAGTAAAAACCCTAAACTTTTGTTGCTTTAAATCTATATAGAAAAATATACAGTAGCCTATTGTAGAAATGTATATTATTAGGCTTCTTGCTGAAATAAACGTTTCCTCGAATGTTTCCTGACTTCAAATCTATCTGGTACAAAACCTCACGCTATTTTAATCACAGATACTAAACCTAGTTAAACATATTGGCTGTAAGCGGCGAACCAATAAAAGTAATGGGCAGTAGAATTTGTCTATTGCTCCAATTGGAGTAAATATTTATTTCTGGCTTACTATGGCAGCCAAATTTTGTGTACTAACTTAAATAAATATGCAATACCAATATTGCTCTAGAAGCAAAACAGTCGCTTAAAAAGTAAACCAAATGCTTTATAAAGAAACACACTTATGAACAGAAAGACAAGAAAATCTATAGGTATACTCGCGGACACAAAAAATAAATATATATAAATATAAATGTAGGTTGTGCAGTTCCAATTATAAAAAATGTGTTTAGGTGTCTCAAGGTCTTTAAGGTATATTTTTCCATTGCCAATAGTTTCGTAAGTTGAGCTTATAAACCGCATTAATTCTTGTTAACTCGAATCCTGCGCACTATTTTATATTGAACATTACGGATCGTAAAATGTTTCCTGTGAACGGAATTGGGCGTGGTTGAGGTCGTATTAGCAGGGCTTGCCCCCGGGGCTGTGGTATTGGTGGATGTGGTGGAGTTGGTCTGGGCTGACGACGGCTGGAGCAGGAAGAATCCGGCGAACAGGACCAGTGCCAATAGACAGGTGGTTAGCTTCATTTCTGTGCTTCGAAAGAATGGTGAATGTATAACACAGGCCTTGGCAGGCCTTTATATATCCGAAAGATTCTTAGGCCAGAAGCCAAGATCAAATATGCGCGGATAGGTAAATAGCGAAAAACAATTGAAAACTAAACAAATTTTGCACGCCACACTTTGCTTCCCTTGTGTGCTTCCAAATTGATGTTTACCGTCAGGAGAAAAACAGTTGTGGGCGCGTTTAAATGACGGCAATATATATTTTTCCTTATAAGATATATAACTATGTTAATCAATGTTGCTGGTTTATGTTAAAAATCGAACAATTCTCAGCTCGTTTATGTGTAAGTTCATTTGGCGCTGTTTGAATCGGTAAGTATTGTATAGAAAAAGTTATCTGATTAAGCTTGAACTATGTGTGTATTTATGTAAATGTTAATGCCGTGAAAATGACAACTTTAGACAAGCGAGTTGTTGGTAACTACTACAAACATGATGTATACAATTCTATTTATTTTTCAATTACAAAACAATCAATTCTCGCTGGCCCTTCGGTCCAATAATTAAAACAATTGTAACATATGCGAATGTGTGTATATGTTGATGCTTGCTTCGGCTCAAAATGCAGTTTCGGTAGCTTTTCACTTACATGACTATGCCTGCTATTGCATAAATACTAACTAACTGGCCGTACACTGCCTTGGCTAATCATTAACGGCTAATCTAGCATACAGTATGTGGCTGCAGCGGAGGCACATCTCCCAGCACACCCGTGACTAAGTCGCATGCCCCAAACCGCTCCGGCCGCTGCTTTGCCAAGCTGAAAGGATGCGAAAACGCGATGGTTAGGTCAGTTTGGCAACTGAGGGAGGGATATCTGTTGTACTCACACATATGGTTATAGGTTATAAAGCTTTAGCTGCTTCCACAGCTTTGTATTGATTAACTTTTTGGAAACGCACTCAATGGCGCTGACTTTTGCTTGATAATTGCTGAAACGGACTCTCTCCTCCTTCATATTTCTTTTCATGCGACTGCTAATGTGGCTGGTTGATCTCACATGAAAAACTCGTTGGCTGAATGGGAAAGCGGAAGTCACGTTCGCCCCGGACGATCGAATATTGTAATCTCTATGACGCGAAGTCCCCGATAAGTTGGATCGATCAGCTGCAGGCCCTTGGCGTTGTAAATGCGTTCGTTTTGGGAAGCCACAAATTTGGATATCTTGCGAAGGGTCTGTGGGAGTGGAGGAGCATTAGTTTGGGGGTGGAATGTGCAGGTGGATAGTCAATAGGCAATAGAGCTGGATGTTCCCTGGCTGTTGTTTTAGTACTTGAGCCAAATGTATGGATACTCGCACATAGATTAATTGATTTGTCAAGTTCTCTAAAAGTAGTTATTAATGACAGAAGCTTTGTAAATAGTGACCTATACACCTTGAGAAATATGAATAGCTTGAATACAAAGACTTTTACTAAATGTTTGATTCTTATGTGATCCATCACACTTAAAAAGCGGAATCTGACTACTCAAGCCCGCTATCTTCAGCTCTATTGCTTTGACCCACATGTGAGTGATCCAAACCCAAATGACGCACCTTTTCGTAGTGCGTTTCGGAGCACATGTAGATCAAGTAGGCCGTGATGCAGCCAATGCAGCCCTCGCAATAGGTGCCGCAGGAGCCTTCCTCCGCCTCGGCGTAGAACTCGTTGAGCCTGTTGATGGTGGCCTCGAAGACGTGTCTTTCAATCTGCACGGGAATGGATGGCTATGCTCAGATAGCAATCACACAGATATGAGATATTATAGTCACCATGCCCTCCAGCTCGGCGGGCAGCCGTGTGTGGAACTTCACGGAGGTTCCTTCGCTGTAGTCGCGCTGGATGAAGACCTTGCTGAAGACCACGCCCCCTCCGGTGCCCTGGAGCGTTGTGGGATTACCGCCCGCTGGAGTAGTGCCACCGCCTTGGGACATGTTGTCGCTGAAAAGGCGGATTATGGCATTAATGGCCTCGCTCTGCAGCGCCCGATGCATTTGGTTTAGGGCAATCATCTTGATGCGCGGAATGCAGTGTCCCAATCCCAAATGGACAGCTGGCCTTGCCTTTTCCAGCAGCCCCCGAAACGGGGTGTTTTGCTCAACTGGTCGGTGGGGCAAGGCCTGCTGGGTGACCCACCTGTTTGCCTTGGCTTGAAGTAACCTCAGTTGGCCTGGTAAAGCTCGCAGGAATCCCCTAATTGCCTTAAATTCCTTAAATTGGTCAACAAATAAATGTTTGCAAACTCCAAGTGTTACCAGACCGCGAATGGTATTTTATACCACGCCAGTGTTACCAAACGTTAGGCCAGCTGTATTTGTTTCGATAAATGCTCTAAAAATACTGCATATTTATAAAATACCTTGAATGAGTATTTTTTGACCATCGCTGTCTGGCGTTGCCACTAGGGCAGAAATATATGATGCTTGGGCGCCAAAATTTAAATCGGATTTCTGGCTAGAACTTCAAGATAGGAGGGCTAAGACTAAGAATGTTCAATGAACTAAAGAAGTGGATCTTATATATATCTCTTTTACTATAATTTTATGGATTTGAGTACTACTTTCAGTAACGTGTTCTATGCATTGAAATAGGATAACTTTGAATTTAGAGCTTGGCCTTGCCTTGCACAGCCGTGGCCGCCACCAGAGCCGCTCCTCTGCCGGATCCGTCCTCCGAAGCAACAAGTTCGAACTTGACGCCCGGCTTGAGCAGCTTCTTCATGTGGAAATGCAGCAAATCGTGGTACTTGGGATGAAAGCGATACACGCTGCCATCGATGCCGATGACCACCTCGTTGATGTTCATCTTGTTGATGATCGTGACCAGCCCGCAGGCACACAACTTGGCGGACCTGGAGGACACCGCCTCGCAGATGAACCGCAGGGCCTCTTTGTCCGGCTCCGGGCAGCCCACGATGCCAATTTCGTTGAGGACCTTATTGCAGAAGCGATACTCTCCAGGTGGATCACTTTCAATATCGGAGATAAAGGAGGATTTGAAGCTCCAGCGCTCCTGGATCTTTTCGGAAGTGATGCCGTGGAACATAAGGTTCTTGGCCACCATGTCGATGACGACCAAACGTACAAGTTCACCCATGTACATGCCCGAGATGCACTTTTCGAAGGTCTGTTTGCCGGGATTGGGTGTTACCCTGTCGATTATCTTGTCGTAGTTAGTTCGAACGAACTCCAGGACACCGTTGTCCCCGAAGGCGCCCCACTCGCAGTTGATGATCATCGACGGCTTGGGACTGGTCTGATATCCCTCGAAGCATTCGGCATTCACTGTTTTCTCCACATAGCAGGCATTACTGCCGGTTCCCACGATCAGTCCTATCCGGCAGTTGGGATGATAGAATGCGCAGGACATCAGAGTGCCCACCGTATCGTTGAGAATGGCCACTGTGTTGACCTTCATATCGCCCCTTCGGTCGATGGCCTCCTGGAGAAGACTTACCTAGAAAGTCGTATTGTTTAAATATCAGTATTTGTAGTACTCCCTAAAACCCCCTGAAACTTACCACATTCTTGCCCACCACGCCTTCGCAACTGAATCCTTTGGTCCAGGCCACTAGGAGGCCTTTGGAGAGTCCCTGTTGCTGGAGCGGAAACGAGAAGGTGAAGCCCAGAGGCAGGGATTCGTTCTCCAGGCCATGGTGGTGGCAAAACTCCGACAGGCACTCGGCAAGGAAGTCGAAGAGCGCCTTTCCTGATCCGGCCATCAGGGTGACGGGAAAATTGAAACTCTTCGACGTGGTTTCCACGTCCGATCCGCTCACCAGGTTCACCAAAAGCACCCTGAAAGTGGAGCCACCCAGATCCAGGGCTAAAAACTTTCCGCGCTCCTTGCCAGTGGGCAGATCTTGCACATAGCTGACGAAACACTTGATCACCGCTCGCGCATGCGTGTCCTTGGCCAGGCCCATCTTGATCTCCTTGGTCATGCGCTCCACCACCTCGACCATCTTCTCCTGGTCGATCAGAAAGCCCTTGACCGCGGCCTCAATTTCGTTGTTGACTAGGCTAGGCATTTTTCTTATACCAAATAAAATTTTATATACGGGGCCAAATAGAGAATGAGTGAAAAGTCTAGGCGACTTTTTTATGAGGTACATTTCAATTCTACTTTTGGATGAGTCAAACGCAGTTGTCATTACACTCTATACATAATCGCAATTTATTTAAGCACTCTAGTAATCCATAGTGAACAACTTCGCGTCCGTTTTGTACTTGTTGGCGTGTGCCATTCCCGCCATTATGGCCGCTCCCACTCCGCAACTGTCCTGGGTGATGACAAACTCGAATTTGTACTTGGGATCGGTTAGCATCCGGGTGTACTTATTCAGAACGGTGGCATAGGTCGGATGAAGGCGGTAGATGCCGCCATCGACGGCGATAGAGATCTGTGGCAAGTGCATGCGGTTTATGAGGCAGGACACGCCACTGGCCACCAGCATTGCAGCTCGATTTGTGACCGTATCGCAGATGTACTTCAGGGCAGCCAGATCCTTTTCCTTGCAGTGACGTATGCGAAACTTGTCCATCACCTCCTGGGCCTTTGTGTAGACACCCGGTGGATCCGAGACTATTTCGATCAGCGACACCATGTCCAGCTTCCACTGGATCCCTATGTAATCACGCCTGTCCTCGGCGAAGATGGCGCCCGATTTCATCAGGCGAAGCACTATAATGCGTACCAATTCCCCCATGCAGAGAGCCCCGCTGAACTTCTCATAGATGCGAGTGCCCGGATTAATGGACTCCGTGTCCAGCTGGCGATCGAATTCGTTACGTATGAAATCCAGCTGCCCGGTATCCCCGAAATGGGCCCAGTCCGAATTAATGATCATTAGCCTTCTACCCTCCTCACCCTCGTACATTTCACACTTCTCGACCCTTTCCACATAGCAGCTATTGGCAATACTGCCCATGATCAAGCCCATGCGGGTATCCGGCTGGGCCCAGCACAGACCCAGCAGGGAACCGGCTCCCACATTGATGATACCCATGACTTCGACGGATATATCGGAGAACTTGGCCAGTGCATCGCGCAGCAGCTGGACCACATCCTTGCCAATGGCGCCTTGGGCGCCAAACTCCTTGGTCCACGACACCAGGATGCCCATGTCCAAAGCGTGCTTTTTCAGGGTGAAGGCAAAGGCAATGCCCAGCGGCAGATTCTCCTTTTCCACCTTTTTCTCCTTCACAAAATTGGCAATGCCGGTGGCCAGAAAGTTGAAGATCTCGGTTCCTCGACCCGCTGCCACAGTATGCGGCATTATCACGCATTTGGAGCTGGTGTATATATCGTTTTCGCTGCTGAACCGCACCAGCATTATGCGGCAGTTAGTGGGCATCATCTCCAGGGCCAAGAACTGGCCGCGCTCCCTGCCCGTTGGCAAATCCTGCACATAGCTCAAGTGGCACGGAACCGTCGAACGATCGTGATGATCGCGGCTCAGTCCCATCGTAATCTCACGATCCATATAGTTTCTGATCTTCTCAAGGTCGTCAATGCTCGGATGAAACAACTTGCAGACCTTGTACACTTCCGGGAAGTCCTGCTCCGGATCGAAAGTGTTAGCCATTTCGATGTCTGTTTAGGTACGGTTTACTCTTTGGGAAACCTAATAGCAAAGCTATTATTTTTAATATTTTTTTCCAAGAGTCTACTGTGTTATCCTAATATACATATGTATCTCTAAAAGGTTTTGAAATCGCAATTAGGCCATATTACAGGGTAGGTTGCTTAGGCGTCTTGAATCAACACTGGGTGCTTTATTTACAGGATAACGAGAAATGCGTCACAAAGAAATGCTTAGATCACTATTTGAGTTGAGTTGAGTTATCTGTGGATGTGGCGGTGAGCAGCTTTTACCTTCGCAGGACGTGGATATATCCTGTGAGCTGCTGGCTATGACACAATGAATTCCGCCTGAATGGCGCATCGCATGTAATGGCTAATAGTGAAAGTCGGGTTAAAACTCGCACTCTAACTTAAGACGAGGGTTAGGCTTACAAATAGAGTGTTAGGGTTGCTAAGAAATACGCGTCACGCGAAAAACATATCCGGAAAATCGCTGTGCAGCAGGTCGAAAGGATAACCATCCAGCGCGGAGAACGAACTAATGCAGGCCGATGGTTGCTGGTCGCTGGCAAAGTCGAAGGAATCCTTGGAACTCTGGTCGAGTAATCGCAGACTGAGTTCCACATCCGACTTCTCCAGACCCGACATGGGCAGATCGCCCCGGCAGCCGGGCAACAGGGATTCCCCGCTGCCAGTGAGCAGACTTCCATAGCCGGGACTCAGACAGGACAGGGAATCCCCGTCGGAGGCATCCAGGAGCAGGGAGTCCAGGGCGGTAAGTCCGTTCAGTCCCGCCAGAGTGTCCAGCTCCAGTCCCGGACTGCTACTGCTGCTGTGGCTATTCGATGACGAGGAGAGCGATGCGTAGGCGGAGGAGGCAGGCGATCCAATCGAGGAGGTGGCGTAGCACGACTCACCGGAACTTGTTGGTGGCATCTGGGGCACCAGCTTGGCCTGCTTTTGGCTCTGTCTCTTGCTGGCGGCGGTGCTCTTCTTACCACTTCCCTTGGTCTTGGCCGGCTTCTTTGCAACTGGAACGGGCAGCTCCACTTCCACCTCGGCTTCCTCGCTCGCATCCAAGTCCACTCTCGCCTCCCGATTGGCACTCTCCTCCAGACACTCCCCTATGAATTCGCTCTCATAGCTGGGATCCCGCATCGAATCGCTCAGCATGGTGATGTACTTCATGGCCAGTCTCAGCGTGGTTATCTTGGTCAACTTCTCGTTGGTATTGGCCGCATCCTCGCCCTTTATCGCCTCGGGAACACAATGCCGCAAGGTCTCGAATGCCGTGTTGATCTCACGCATTCTAGTGCGCTCCCTGGCATTCGCGGTTTTTCGCCGGTATTTGCTCAATGGCGGTGCTTTCGTCTTGGACTTGGTGGGTGCATTTTTCCTCGATTTGCTAGCCGGCTCCGCGATGGGATCCAGTTCTAGTTGAAAGTCTGGCAGGCTGGCGGCTTCCCCATCCTCGTTGGAAGCCCTCTTCTGTCGCTTCTGTCGCAGCGAATACTTCTCGCCACGGGCACTGGCCGTCTTCCTCTTCCGCGAATCCTTGGAGTCCGTCGCGGAGGCCATGTCATTCAGATCGGCGTAGTTGTGCAGCTCGTACGTATTGGACTTCATCTGAAAGTGGAGTGCAGAGGCAGACTTTAGTCGAGGGTCTTCTAGGTATATTCGAACCCATCCCATTCGATCCCAGCCCGGGGCAATTAACAATTTTGTACAATTTTTCGAAAGACATCGGGGAGCATATGGGGCCTGTGCAGTGAAGTGAATCGGTTTTTTTTGGACCCACCCCGCCAAAAACTTCCGTAAACGGCTCTCGAATTGGCTTCAATGAACTGAAGTCGATTCTTGAGTAGTGCTTCCGTCATAAAACCCACTGAAGCCGAAAAACCGAGACGAAACGAAACGCATCAAACCAAAAAACTAATAAATACAATTTAGCAGCAAGAGGGGCAAGAACAAATTGGTCTGCCAAATGAAATTTCTCATTGCTCATTGCGTTGCGCAATCTACAAAATGCCAAGTATCTTCTCGATCTGAGTCATATAATATTTGCAGCAATGAAGTCTATGAGCTGGCTTCACAAATACTAAAAATGGTTTAGTCAAGTTGTTGAATTCTGGACGTTCAGAAAGCCCATATTAGTTTAACGTATTTCTCATCTTGTGAGTAATGTAATCGCAAACAAGTGTCATTCACAATTTTAACTAGAAGCATTTATTTTAAAAAATTTTCTGTTATCGTGACACGAACAAAAAATAACTAGACTAAGAATTGCGCTGCATTTTCTAAGCTGATAAAAAACTTGAAAAAGAGTTTCTGTTGCTTAAGCCTTTTAATATAAATACGAAATTCTAATAAAAATGTTATTAGCTGTTATAAAACTTTTAACACGAAAGTTCATAAAAATATTTAAAGACCTCGTTAAATGTTCTGCTTTAAATATATAAACAAGTATTATCAGATGTGAAAAAAATATAAATTTGGTCTTGAAAATACCGCATGAGAGAAATTGTTTATGGAAGTACGACTACTTAAAATTCCATTTGCTTTGATGAGCAATTTTTGTTCATTATTTAAATGCTTTATCCAAAAGTTTGAAAAATATTGTATTATTTTTATTCTGTTGCTTGCGAAATTTATGTCGAGTTCTAAAATATGTTTGAGACTTAGACTTAAAATGAAATTTAACATTTTACATTGTTTTTTCTTATTCGTCACAAAAGAATGTATATGCAACATGAGTAGATTGTGAATATTTAATTTCGCAGAAATATTTAATGCATTACATTAATCTCGGTGAGAGGGAAATGTGAGTTTTAAATTCCGTTCATTGCCAAGGGCGCTGTTTACTCAATTTCAAAGGGGGAAAGTTTTGTGTGGTAAATGAAATGTTTATTATTTTCTTTTGTGTGCGGTAGGTCAGCTATACGAAATATTTTCCCCTCTATTGCGAGTTGAATGCGGGCAGATACATTTTGCGGTGACTGTTCGGCGGTTGGAAATGCAACAAAACAACGCAAAGCAAAGCAGAGCAAAGCACAGCTAACAACAAATGCAACAGTTAATGAATGCATTTTAATGCAAGAATTAAGTTACATGAAAATGTAACATGAAGCCAACGCAACGCCGTCACTTCCACCTCCCAAACAGATGCAGATACACATGGTCTGTGCGAATGTGGATGGAGATTGAAATGTAATGCATCGATGCTAACGCCCTTGCAATTGTGCCTTGGCCTCATAAATCGCCAGTTTGCCAGCTAACCAGCCTTCCAGTTTGCCAGCTCGCCAGTTTGCCAGTTTGCCAGTTGCCCGTCTGAATGCAGAGGTGTAAATGCAGCCAGATTGATTGCAGTCAGTTGATCTAAGGGGAGCAGCTCACGCCGAGTTAGTCAGTTTAGCCGGCCCCACTTAAATGGACAATTTAGTGCAGATTGTCCAAAATTGGCACTAGACGATTCTGGCCACCTTGCCCGATCCAATCCGGCTTGCATTGGCTTGGATTGCCAGCTCGTTGGCTTGTTGGCCTGCTTGACACTTGTTGCATAGCTCTGACCATTCCCAGAGCTCGCTCTTGGCTTGGCCTAAACAAGTTATGAGGTGTTTCTCCTTAAGTGAGCACTTTTCTTCGATTACCGTTAATGTTTGTTTGTCTGGCAGCAGGAAAAAAGAGGGAATGAATTGCAAGAGATTCAGCACAGCTCATCTCGAAAGCCCAGCAAATCTCCATTCAAATCACCTTTCCCTGCCCCAACTTTCAACACGTGGCTAGGTTTTTCACTTCGTGTCGGCATTTTCTTTTGGCGTTTCGCCCCTGATTCGAGGTATAATTAATTTTTACCACGCAATCCTAAGAAATGCTTAAGGACCCTGCAGGCAGAAGTTTTGAAGTTGAAGAAGATACATGCAATCCGTATGCCCTTTCAAACACGTTTAAGTGATTTCTGAAAATGTGTAGTATCTGTGCTCCATAGCAGATATTTTTTGATGTACATGTTGATAAAATCTAGATATATATTCAGTTTATAAATAATTTGTAAAGCATGTTTCGAAACGAAACCCATAATTCATAAGTGCCGCCCCAAGCCACTTGAGTTGTAAGGGCATCGTAAAAGTTTGCGACATGCAACAAACAAGCTGCAATTAAGCGCACAACACAGAAAAATTTGTGCACCGTCTTCAAAGAGGGGCGGCAACCGTTGTTTACCTGCTCACTCCCCCACCAACCCCCCGCCAGTTTTCCCGCCCTCCGGTTCCAAACAACGTGAAAATTACCTAGTTCCGTGTGCTTAATGTGGGCCTTTTCGCTGGGTGGGTGGAAAAGCGTGGAAAGTGCAGCGACTGGCCGCAATCAACAAATTGCATGCGATTAAAAGTATTCGCGGCTAATAAACGTTTGTTGAACAAACAGCAACAAGCGGCCTCCTGATTTTCGGAGGCGCAACCGGAGGGATACAGGATATGCTGCAAGGAAGTTGAGCAGGAAGTGAGCGGGCTGCAGTTGATACTATGGTGCATGGGGCCTGTTTCGCTCTCTGTTGATTGGAAAATTTGCTGCGCGCTCTTCGTGGATAAAGCGGGGAGCGGTGAGCGGTGTGGTGGGGGCGCCTCTGCTTAAGTTTTCAATTACACGCCGGCACAATGCAGAAAGCGCCCAATTGAAATGCGCAGACAACAAACATAGAACAGTTCCTCTTACACAAAAGCACAACATTTCATTTCGACACTGGGAAAAATCAGGGACAAGTAAGTTCAGTCAAATCAAATTTAGCTAGTAATTTAATCTAGTAACATTTAAGTGGTCTGAAATGTGCTTATACTTAAGTTGTATTTAAATTATATATTTTTTAAGTTATTCTCATATCCAAATAACAACTTGTTGGAAGTTAAGAAGAAAGTACCTCTCTTTACAATTATTCGTAGTCATTGATGATACGGTGATGAATTTTGTTCCAGTGCACCCCTTTCCCCTGCTCCTCCTCTGTTTGGTAGACAAAAGGCGGGCCGTGCGTGCGGCGAGGCGTGAAGGGGTCGAGGGGCGGGGCAGGGGCGTGTGGCGAGTGGGCGGGTCGGACCGTTCCACAGATATATGTATGCAGTACTTCTTTTTTTGGGGAAATCAGATGGCGTGGGGATGGGAGAGGGGAAGGGGAAGTTAGCCAGGCCTAGCCGAGAAGTGCACTTGAAACTACCGGCGAGTGACTCCCCCGCCCCTGCAGCCTGCCCTTCACTTTTGGTTCGGTTGCAGTCGCTGCATTTTTAGGTGTAGCCATTAAATTTAGAACTTTTTCTGCACGCTTGTCTGCGCGCCCATGGGTTTTCCGGGGGAAATTCGGGGAAAGCGGAGTCGTTGAATTCAAGGATTTCGGCAGTCGGGTGCGGTTAAATGGAAAATGAAGCGTCTGCTGCTTGGGCACGGAAAAAAGCAACTGAACCACATGAGGCATTGCTGCAACGAGGGTGGATAGCTTAGTTTGAGCAATGTTTTCCTTTGGCAGGATGAACTTTGATTTATAAATATTAGTATTCCTTCCTATTAAAAAAGTTCAAAAAGTAGCTGAAGTAGTAAACTCCTATAAGAAGTTAAAAAAGTAACTTCATCAGCCAGAACTAAACTTTAAGAGTTAAAGATAAATCTCAAAAAGTTATCAACATTGATTTCACATGTTCTGTAACTTTAGGAGCTCCCTTCTGAACCGATTCGGCATGGAATCTCCGACTGATTCAGATTGTCTCTGTGCCTGCCGTGATTTTGATTCGATTTGTTGTTTTTGTCTTTTCCACAGCTCTAAAATTAGTTTTCATTGTATGCAACTTGAATTTCCCTTCACTATTTTCGTTTTCTTATTTTCGTAGCGCTCTATCTATTTTTCATCTGCCTCGATTTGTGATTCTTAATTTGCTTTTTGTGGAAGGCGTCTAAATCTTTCATTCGGCTTCGACTTTGTTGCCGATACTTTGTGTTGTGTGTGTGTTGCTGCTTTTGTCTCGTGCTGTTGACTGTTGCCAGTTGCCAGTTGCACGTTGCACGTTGCACGTCCCCCTGCCTTTTGTCTCGTGTGTGCTACCGTTGGCAGCTATTATTTTTAGCCGGCCTGCGGCAAGTTCTTATTTGTTATTCTACCCATCTTTTTTTGCCGTCTTTTGATTTTTTTAGGCTCCTTGCCGTTTATTTCATTTTTGTTTTGCATGCTGTTGATTTGTTGCCATTGCTTTGGCCAAATGATTGTGTTTGATTTTCCATTTACGTTGAGTTTGTTTATTAAAATTGGCACACACTGCGTATGTGTGATGTGCCCGTGTTTACATTCTCTGTCTCCCTTTCACCACTGCGGGGTAAATACATATCCATGTACGTGTGTGCCCACGTATGAGTTATATTTTGATAGCTTTCTGTGTGGTTTTGTATTACCCATCGCCTTTTGATTTGCTTGATTTTTGACAGGTCTCTGGCATTTGCCTACGGCTAGCTTTTATTTTTCTTCATTTTTCCTGCTATTGTTATTGGTTTTAGCCTCTTTCCCGCATTGGATTGGGATTTGGGTCAGGGGGACAGCAAACAATGAGGTGGGCAAGTATGCTTGTATATAGGGTAGCGTTCATGCGTTCATCAACTAATTTAATTTTAGATATGCCTTTCCGTGGCAGAAAAATCATTAAAATTTGACTGGATCTAAATTTTATATTTTTATATTTTTGGCGAAATTTCGCTGTAAATCATGAAAATATTTATGACGAATAGCTTTTTTATCACGCTTTGGGGGTTTATTTTAGCTCTCGTCGAAATGAATAATATTTTAAATCATACATAAATGCCCAAACCGCCAGAAACCCATTTTACTCGATTATTTGGCAAACATAACGCTCGTAGCCAAATGGTTAAGCGAAAATGAAAGTAAATAAACAAATGCCGGCGTTGATTAGCACTTCTCCGTATTAAAGTGAGTGGCAGCTCAAGCGGGACTCTCATTGATGATGAGAATTCACGGCTTTTGTTTACACATTAATTAAACTGTTCCCCTTACTTTGGGCGCAAACAAACGGAGCCAAGTTGGCTTGCCTTCCTTCGGTAACCTTTGAAAATCAGTTGACAACTGGCTGTCGTCGCCGTTTTCCCTCCCGAGCAACTCGAAAACATTTTCCCCTGCACACACATCTGGCTTTTCAACACCTTGGACAAATAAATGTTTCAGAAGTTTCCTAAAAACCCGCCCTGGCCCATCTGCCACCCACTACCGCGATTGGCCAGAGGAATGCCTTTGTCTATTTTTATTGGGGCGGCCACAAGAGATCGAGGAGATCGAGGAGATCGTCTTTATCTCCACATTTATGTCTGATAAATGGCGGCGGTATATTTACCTTTTTGATTTCATAAATCCAACAATGTGTAGCTGGCGGGGTTGGCTGGTTTCAGGATGATTTGAATTCAGTTGTGCACTCTGATTAAGATTTGTTGATGTTTTTATTTTAATTTTTGGTTCATTAAAGTTGCGCAAAAGTATGCAAATTGAAATTCCGACAACGCGTTTTCTAATTAGTCACCCAACTAATTTTGATATGCGATCTTTTTATAATTTTGTTTTGCTTGCGCTTTTTTCATTCTTTTCGGATTTTAAGTTATTAGCTCATGCATAAATTTGGCATTTTAACACAACAAAAAAGGTTTGTTTTCAGTTCTTATTTCCTCAAAAACTCCAGAACTTGTTTTGGCTTGAATTGATTTTGCGATGGTTGTGGTTGCGGTTGCGGTTGCGGCGGATTAACTATTGATAAGAACTTTTGTACGGTTTTCGCGCATTCTCGTGTTGTGTGTTTATCTTGTGTGCTGGAAAAGCCTCGAAGAATGGATTTTCCGTGAAAACGTGCAAGCCGCGTGTGTCAGTGCGGCGGTACTAATATGTGCGGCAGTGTGCGTGAGGCCGGTTGCTAAAAATATCTATGAGTGCGCGTCGCTCGCGTTCTGTATCTGTATCTCGGAATCTGTATCTGTATCCAATATCCCGAGTTGGCATACGAAAATACACGGAGAAATGGCTGCGCTGCGTCCGCCTGCTGCGCTTGTCGGCTGTGCACTGAAAAGATATATCTCGCGGATCGCTGGGATGGTCGGTGTGGCTTGGCCTGGCCTGGGATGCGGTGGCAGCTAAATCAGCTGACTACTCCCCAGTTGGCTTTGACTCCGTTAGCCAGGCTAGCGACGACTCAGGTGGGCGGCGATGGCAGTCGAAGTCGGACTTTTGGCTCACTTGTCCGCTGCGCTGAGCGTGCGGCGCGCTATTGGAACGATCAATGAATGAAATGCCGCATTAAAAGGCAGCAAAGTCTCGTTTTCTGAGCGTCGACCAATAAACCGAGAAACCCACTGGCGCTCGCCAACGCCAACACAAAACATCCCAGCGCAACACAACACAACACAACACAGCACAAAGTCATTGAAGAGAAACCAGTTCTCTCTTTCCCCAAATATCCACCCGATGTGTGGGTGCTTTTGCGTTGGCCGGATCGGATGGGATCGTATCGGATCGTATCGTAACGTATCGCACTGTATCGCATAGTACGGTCGCAGTTGGTCTGGGCGCACTCTCTTGAGTGGTTTCCGATTCAGATGGATTTTCGGTTTCGTTTCGAGTGCTTTGAGTGCCGTGTACCACGAGTACACGTCCCCCTGAGATTTCGTATGATCTAATATCGCCAGGCAGTTATTTATTTAAATTTATTGCTAATTTTATTTGCTGCTGCAGCAGCGCTTGACATTCATTTGTACGAGTCAGACATTGCTTGAGCTCACTTGAAAATAGTTGAAAATGTTTATTCGTCTTTGATTGAGATGGTATCAGCTACCAAGCTTGACTTGTGTCGAATCTCCATTTTTAAGGTTGAACTTTGGCTGCCAGACCAAAAATGATACCCATTCTTGATATTTATTTGGATCAACTTGGATTTGGTAGCGAATTATGAGGCATGTCGAAGTAAAGTTCAAGGAAATGTCCTCATTTATGTTTTACTATACCCGTTACTCGCAGAGTAAAAGGGTATACTAGATTCTTTGAAATGTTTGTAACAGGCAGAATGAAGCGTTTCCGACCATATAAAGTATAAATATTCTTGATAAGGATCAATTCCGTCCATATGAGGTATAATGTTGTATAATCCATATGATGTTGTATAAATTCAAAAAAATTAAAAAATGTCCCAAAGCTAAAGATGTATACTCCATAACTCAACTTATCTTAATCGGATTTTTATGTGGCATACCTCTAAATGTTTCTGGCGCAATTCTCTAAAGAACTGCATTTAAATTTAGAAATCATTTTTTTTTAAATTTTTTTTTCATTTTTCTGTTGTAGAAATTCAAAAAAGTTAAAAAATGTCCCAAAGCTGAAGTTGTATACTCCATAACTCAACTTATCTTAATCGGATTTTGATGTGGCATACCTCTAAATGTTTCTGGCGCAATTCTCTAAAGAACTGCATTTAAATTTAGAAATCATTTTTTTTTTAATTTTTTTTTCATTTTTCTGTTGTAGAAATTCAAAAAAGTTAAAAAATGTCCCAAAGCTGAAGTTGTATACTCCATAACTCAACTTATCTTAATCGGATTTTGATGTGGCATACCTCTAAATGTTTCTGGCGCAATTCTCTAAAAAACTGCATTTAAATTTAGAAATCATTTTTTTTTAAATTTTTTTGTCATTTTTCTGTTGTAGAAATTCAAAAAAGTTAAAAAATGTCCCAAAGCTGAAGTTGTATACTCCATAACTCAACTTATCTTAATCGGATTTTGATGTGGCATACCTCTAAATGTTTCTGGCGCAATTCTCTAAAAAACTGCATTTAAATTTAGAAATTTTTTTTTTTTAATTTTTTTGCCATTTTTCTGTTGTAGAAATTCAAGAAAATTAAAAAATGTCCCAAAGCTGAAGCTCTAAAGCCCATAACTCAACTTATCTTAATCGGATTTTGATGTGGCATACCTCTAAATGTTTCTGGCGCAATTCTCTAAAAAACTGCATTTAAATTTAGAAATCATTTTTTTTTTAATTTTTTTGTCATTTTTCTGTTGTAGAAATTCAAAAAAGTTAAAAAATGTCCCAAAGCTGAAGTTGTATACTACATAACTCAACTTATCTTAATCGGATTTTGATGTGGCATACCTCTAAATGTTTCTGGCGCAATTCTCTAAAAATCTGCATTTAAATTTAGAAATTATTTTTTTTTTAATTTTTTTGTAATTTTTCTGTTGTAGAAATTCAAAAAAGTTAAAAAATCTCCCAAAGCTGAAGTTCTATACTCCATAACTCAACTTATCTTAATCAGATTTTGATGTGGCATACCTCTAAATGTTTCTGGCGCAATTCTCTAAAAAACTGCATTTAAATTTAGTAATTATTTTTTTTTAATTTTTTTGTAATTTTTCTGTTGTAGAAATTCAAGAAAATTAAAAAATGTCCCAAAACTGAAGTTCTAAAGCCCATAACTCAACTTATCTTAATCGGATTTTGATGTGGCATACCTCTAAATGTTTCTGGCGCAATTCTCTAAAAAACTGCATTTAAATTTAGAAATTATTTTTTTTTACATTTTTTTGTAATTTTTCTGTTGTAGAAATTCAAGAAAATTAAAAAATGTCCCAAAACTGAAGTTCTAAAGCCCATAACTCAACTTATCTTAATCGGATTTTGATGTGGCATACCTCTAAATGTTTCTGGCGCAATTCTCTAAAAAACTGCATTTAAATTTAGAAATTATTTTTTTTTTAATTTTTTTGTAATTTTTCTGTTGTAGAAATTCAAAAAAGTTAAAAAATCTCCCAAAGCTGAAGTTCTATACTCCATAACTCAACTTATCTTAATCAGATTTTGATGTGGCATACCTCTAAATGTTTCTGGCGCAATTCTCTAAAAAACTGCATTTAAATTTAGAAATCATTTTTTTTTTACATTTTTTTGTAATTTTTCTGTTGTAGAAATTCAAAAAAGTTAAAAAATGTCCCAAAGCTGAAGTTCTAAAGCCCATAACTCAACTTATCTTAATCGGATTTTGATGTGGCATACCTCTAAATGTTTCTGGCGCAATTCTCTAAAAAACTGCATTTAAATTTAGAAATTATTTTTTTTTACATTTTTTTGTAATTTTTCTGTTGTAGAAATTCAAGAAAATTAAAAAATGTCCCAAAACTGAAGTTCTAAAGCCCATAACTCAACTTATCTTAATCGGATTTTGATGTGGCATACCTCTAAATGTTTCTGGCGCAATTCTCTAAAAAACTGCATTTAAATTTAGAAATTATTTTTTTTTACATTTTTTTGTAATTTTTCTGTTGTAGAAATTCAAGAAAATTAAAAAATGTCCCAAAACTGAAGTTCTAAAGCCCATAACTCAACTTATCTTAATCGGATTTTGATGTGGCATACCTCTAAATGTTTCTGGCGCAATTCTCTAAAAAACTGCATTTAAATTTAGAAATTATTTTTTTTTTAATTTTTTTGTAATTTTTCTGTTGTAGAAATTCAAAAAAGTTAAAAAATCTCCCAAAGCTGAAGTTCTATACTCCATAACTCAACTTATCTTAATCAGATTTTGATGTGGCATACCTCTAAATGTTTCTGGCGCAATTCTCTAAAAAACTGCATTTAAATTTAGAAATCATTTTTTTTTTACATTTTTTTGTAATTTTTCTGTTGTAGAAATTCAAAAAAGTTAAAAAATGTCCCAAAGCTGAAGTTCTAAAGCCCATAACTCAACTTATCTTAATCGGATTTTGATGTGGCATACCTCTAAATGTTTCTGGCGCAATTCTCTAAAAAACTGCATTTAAATTTAGAAATTTTTTTTTTTCAATTTTTTTGTAATTTTTCTGTTGTAGAAATTCAAAAAAGTTAAAAAATCTCCCAAAGCTGAAGTTCTAAAGCCCATAACTCAACTTATCTTAATCGGATTTTGATGCTGCATACCTCTAAATGTTTGTGGCGCAATTCTCTAAAAAACTGCATTTAAATTTAGAAATTATTATTTTTTTTAAATTTTTTTGTAATTTTTCTGTTGTAGAAATTCAAAAAAGTTAAAAAATCTCCCAAAGCTGAAGTTCTAAAGCCCATAACTCAACTTATCTTAATCGGATTTTGATGTGGCATACGTCTAAATGTTTCTGGCACAATTCTCTAAAAAACTGCATTTAAATTTAGAAATTATTTTTTTTTTAATTTTTTTGTAATTTTTCTGTTGTAGAATTTTTCTATAAGGCCCACTCCAAGGCCACAAACCGTCCAAAACTGTCACGCCCTCATTTTGATAAATACTGTGGTATTTTTTCACTTTTTTATAAATCTCGTAAATTTCTATAGATTTGCAAAAAACTTTTTGCCACGCCCACACTTTTAAAAAATTTTTAAGTTTTTTTCGTTCTACAGATGTTCCAGAAAATGTTGAAATATCTCGTTTGCATTTCCCCTAGCTGAGTAAGGGGTATCTGATAGTCGGGGAACTCGACTATAGCATTCAAAATATTTATTTATTTATATATATTAAAAGCATATTCTAAATAATTCCTGTAAAATATGAAATAACATTTTTAGAAACGTAGTTCTTAGTTTTTCAGCATCCTCTATTAAGAAGTAATTAAGAAGTATGTATTTGATGAAGTTTTAGACGGGTTTTTGCTAGTCGCCAACTTTCGACTATAGCAATTCTGCAAATTTTATTTTTTATTTTATACTTTATTCTAATTCGTTTCGATCAGTTTCACATAATGTATTGGGTGTGTGCACTTCTCAAGTTGTTTTTACATCGCGTCCAATTTCAAATTGCTAAGCTGATTTCAAAGTCACAATTCAGTTGTTCGAACCCGATTCTGTATTTTTTTTTTTAACAAAGAGTATTGTTTACAGCCATAGTTGTATAGTTTTTTTTTGCTTGCAGTTTGTTGCTTCACAAATAATTATAATTAACTGACAACAGACAAATAATTGCAAAATGGATTTGCTCCTGCAGGCAAAACAAGTTGTTTTCTCATTATTGTGGCTATGACGACATACCCGGCTTAAATCCCCAGTTTGCTCCGATATACTCATATATGAGCACTCGTGAATAAATGACTTCAGGCAATAGATCGACTCTGTGACTGACTGACGAATAATTTATCTTTGTGCTTCTGTCTGAAGGCGAGTTCGTCATCGTTTGTCGCGTTTTGTTCTTAAGTAAATAAATCATGATGACAACAGTTAAATTTGATTATAATTCTCTTTTTTTTCTGCCCAGAAAGCATACATTTTTCATGGCACAAGGTCGTCGCACGTTTTAGGAGAGTGGAAAAGTAACGCATGCAACATTAATTTGATTTGCGTGCGAAGTGAGCTAAAAATCAAATTATATATGTATGAGTATTTTTGATTAACTGAGCATATTTAAAAATACATGCAAAGTAGCCAAAAATTGTGTTTCTTTGCTGA